CCCCCACAGCTGCCAGAATTGTATGCATGTGTTGAGGAATTTAATAAGGAGAGCAAGAAATCAAATCTCCTAAAAATTCAGGATATTTCACTTAATGAGGCACAGAAAATGCTCACTAAAAACCTGGACGCCATGTCACTCATCAGTGGAACTGGTGTGAAGAGACAAGATCCCCAACCTGTCTTCACGTGCACAGTGGTTAAAAAAGAGGACCAGAAGCCAGAGTCCATGGCGGAGGTCCTGCACCACAGTCTGCTGACCAGCTCCCTGTCCCCCGGGGAGAGGCTCTCCAGGTCCCAGCAGAGACTGTCCCAGTATGGGATCCATCCACCCACGCACACTTTCCCTTATGAGATCCTCATCGACCACTCAAATGCGCTGTCACTGGTTGCCATGTGGAAGAAGATTCAGAGCATCAAAATAATGTGCAGGCTAGGCCTTCCCATTGCCTCCCCCCAAAAGTTTGTCTTTGGAGAAAAAGTTCCTACCTACTTCTTAAGGGAACAAGGTAAGATGCCCGGCTAGCTCAGTCGGTAGAGCATGAGACTCTTAAGGGAACAAGGTGACCTAAACAGATGAGGCCACGAGGGAGAAAATGAGTGGAAATCTAATTGCAAATGTATGCAGATTTCTAGAGCAGAAATAGTCAAATACTGACCCATGGAAATCTTGCGGTTCGGGGGTTCATGGCTGCTGCTCCTGCTGCCTGCAGTCGTGATAAAATGTAGAACAGAGGATCAAAGAGTCCAGGGTCAAGTCCCAGATTCATTCCCGAAAAGGCGTGCTGTTTAGGCATGCAATTTAAACTCTGCTTTACAAAACAGGCTGTTGGACTTGAACGTTAAAGCAGCCGTAACTGTTTCCTGTTAGATGAAGTTAGTTCTGAGTATCATCTTTTTTAAGTGTCTTGGCTTTGCTGCAATTAAGGGGGTATTTTAGAGATTTTTTTTTCACAAACTTTTACTGTTATTGCTACATCTCTATCCAATAGGGCTTTCAACAGAGGCCACAAACAGCAGGAAGAAATTCTCTCCTCATTTCTGATTCTTTAATATACAGGTGCCCATAAAAGGCCAAAGACCACACAGAGAAAGTNTCATTTCTGATTCTTTAATATACAGGTGCCCATAAAAGGCCAAAGACCACACAGAGAAAGTCAAAACTATATAAAACATATGATGCTGTTTTAAAAAGAAGGGAGCATCTTACACTTCAGGTCTCCATCTTTCTTATGTAATTTGAGAGAGGTAATAGTTCATTCTTTGTAGATATAAAAGTAGATTAAATCAATATTTGAGTCCCTCAAATATTGATGTAGGTTCTGATTCAAGTTAAGACCATTTGCACAGCAAATATTTTGATACCACCATTTTTTAAAAATTTATGACACATCTTCGTGGGGCACAGAGCTGACCGTCAGCACCTATGCCCAAGATGTGATGATCAGATCAATACTATCAGCGTGCCCACCACCTCGACTTGCAAGCACTCCTCGTGTCCCCCACCCGACCTCTCACCAATCCCCTTCCCTCTACCCCCACTGCCCCCTGGCAACCCTAGGTCTGTTCTGTCCCCTCTGCAAGTCCAACACACCACTGTGGTCTTTCTTTCCTTCCTTCTTTCTCTCTTAGCTCCCACTTATGAGTAAGGACACGTGGTATTTCTCTTTCTGTTCCTGGCTTATTTTGCTTTAACGTAATTTTCTCCAAGCTCATCCATGCTGCAGCAAATGGCAGAATTGCATTCTTTTTTATGGCAGAGTAGTATTCCGTTGTGTGTACATGCCATGTTTTCCTTACCAGTCATCCTTAAATGGACATTTAGGTTGGTTCTAACTTTTGGCTGTTATAAATAGAGCTGCGATGAACATGGGAGTGCAGGTGTCCCTTCAACATGGTGATTTCCACTC